TGATCCAAGGGCCTATTTATAATGTGGGATTAATTGCTCATTACCGTGGGGGAAACAAGCAAGTGATTATGATGAGAAAAATTGGGGGAGTTTCTTAAAAGCTCTAATTGTGGTCACATGGGAGCAGAGCTGGACCACAGTACATGGGTATCCTGAGAGGACTTATCATCCAGTGATGCTTCTTAATCTTTGAATTTATTTTGCAAGTGACGGACCCCCCCCCCCCCAAAAAAAAAAGATTCTCTGGTAGTAAAAATTAGATCCTCAGTTCAAAATAGATTGATCATTTGTTGCACTGAGTAATGTAACATTTTAACTCATTTTCAAGTAAGTCAAATTTTTGCAACAGTTTGCAAAATAGGTCTTTTGTTTCCATTTTTACCTGGAAAGTGTAAGTTATGCTCACAAAGAGTAGTGGTTATATATAGGGTCGTAGAAATTTTATTCAAAATATGTTTGTGGATTTTATATTGGCAAAGGTGTTTCCATTAATTGTGAATTCAGTACCAAGTGAGCAGCTTTCCTAGGAGAAATAGGGAACCAGACTCTGAGACAAGGATTTTTGTAGAAGTTGTTGCCTGGGAGGTGATTGGAAGAAAGTGGGGCTGGACACAGGGAAGGGGGAGCAGCCATTAAAGTGTGTGTGTGTGTGTGTGTGTGTGTGACTGTGATTGTCTTGCTTTAGCTGCCCCCAAAAGCAGACCCTAAGATAAGGATTCGGGTGCAGATAGTTTGCAAGGGAGGGCTTTTTAAGGACCAAACTTTAATATCTCAGAGACATCCCAGTGCATTACTGTGGGTGTCACAGATGCTTCTGTCCATGCCATCAGAGCAAGAATCGAAAACTCTGCAAGTTACAGCAATGACCTCTCTGGATACATAAAAGCAGCATATTGCAGCCGGTCACAGAGTACAAATAAGGAGCCATTGAACAGAGCGGAAACAGGCAGTGGCCAAACATCCTAGCAGAAGGGCAGGGAAGGTCCAGAAAGAGTCAGAGAGGCGCAGGCATGATTTTTGGTTGATTCTTATTACAACTGGTCAGAGGAAACCGAGGTCCAGATCTCCCATGGCTGCAGTGGAAATTCATAGCAAAGAGAACCTTTGGTCACTTGTCACCAGGAGGTCAAGCAAGGAGGGAGGGCTGAGGCTTAGGCAGCAACCCAGACCCCGGCCGACATCTCTGCACCAGCTCTGAGCCTGTCGTGAGGAGGGGGAGGGAAAAGGCTGTGTGATCAAGCCAGCTCCCTGGGGGTGACTGGAACCTTGTCTCATGGGGACCCTGGGAGACAGCACAGGACAGCACCTGAGAGCTTTCCCACCTGGGTGGTCAGGGAGCTGGGAGTCACATGCCTTCAGCATCTCACCTGCCCACGGCTACCAGCCTCGGACTCATCAACTTGCTGGCCCAGGTTTGCTGTGTGGCTGAAAGTGACAATGTGCAAATATCAGGTGTGAAAACACCATGAGGAGGGGACTGCCAATCAGGAATGTTCTCAGTGTCTGGTATTGTGGGAGCTCCATTCCGAAATGGACAGGGCCAGTCTGCACACGCATCACTACTGAAAACAGATGGGAAAAGGGCCCTGAGTACTCAACCAGAGACTGTGGACATTAGATTCCTAAAAGCAGGTTTCTCCCCACGCAGCTCAGCAACAGGAAGCGGGAGGCTGGAAAGGACCAATGCCTCTGGGAATGGACGGGAGCAGACAGACAGTGGGGACCACAGACGGCAGCAAGATGTTGAAACCATTAAGGGTGCTGCGGTCCAAGGTCTGAGTGCACATGGAGGACGGGGGGAGGGGGAAGATGACAGAGGTTTGGACGAAAGACCCTGCAGGACTGGGAGTGATTGATGGGCAGAGCGAAGCGGGGATTCAAGCCTGGTGCTGTCATTAAGAGAGGGGAGCCTGGACTTCAGGGGAAAGGAATGTTGAGCGGAAAGTCAGCGTTTCAGAGACAGAAAGCAAAAAGGAGTGCTTCTTTTTTGTACTTTTTTGTAGACAGATCTTTCTGAGTTCAGCAAAGGCAGTGGGGAGGTAGGGGAAGAGGACCCCACAAACACTATGTGGTTTGATTTTGCTTTGTTTTTGTTCCCCCTAAATTGGAAGCAGAGAAAACAAAGAGCTGCAATCCAGAAATCACACACGAGCCTGCCAGCTGAATGATCTGACTTCTGTCCAGTCCTGTTGTGCACCTTAGTGGAATCATAGAGGGATTGAAAATAATCAAAAACAGGGAGCAGGAAGGAAAAGGAAGCACTTGAGCTCTGAGAACAGAGTCTGTGGTGAAGCCTTGGTTAAAATAGTAGCTTCGGGCTGCCAGGGAGCCTCATGCATATAGATGGAGGAGACCCTGATGCCCTAGCAGGCAGGTGAGATGAGGATATGTGGGTAAAATCCTTTGTCAATCAAAATACCACAGACAGGTTAGGGCCCTATTTGGATAGTAGTGGGGCGATAGCTTTGTCATAGCCAGACCCCCAGCCCCAGTTTAGGTTAGGCCAAAGGGGACTGTGGAGGCTTCCCTGGTGGCTCAGTGGTAAAGAATCCGCCTGCCAATGCAGGAGACATGGGTTTGATCCTTGGGCCGGGAAGATTCCCTGGAGAAGGAAATGACAACCCACTCCAGTATTCTTGCCTGGGAAACCCCATGGACAGAGGAAGTCCGTGGGGTGGCAAAGAGTTGAGCATTACTTACCACAACAGCCAACGGTACTGTGAGAAGGATGGTTTGGCCCTGTGTTGACGCAGACATCAACTATCTCCCTGGCTTTGATGGAAACACTCTCAGCCTCTGGACAAAAGCAAGAGTGTGAGGTCCTCAGGAGGATAATAGAATTCACCTCTAATCCTCCCCTTTGCTAGGGACCTGACACAGCCATCCGAAGAGAGGGAGGGCTTGTCTTACCAAGATAACCAGCTTGGGTGGATTCTCAGGCATGTCATCCAGTGTTCTGTTATCTGCAGTAACTCGAGGTCAATAGAAGCTGATTGTCAAGGGTCATAAATATCCCCAGCCCCAAAGCAAGAGTGTGTATGGGACCTTGATCTCAGACCCAGGGATGAATGTTTGTTAGTGCTGACTGGACCTCCACGTGAAGGATGCTGGGAGGGCAGAGGCAACTGGTGTAGGATGAAGGCAGGATTGGGGGGCAGGGGCAGAGTTCAGGAGGGTGGACCCATAGTGAGGAGGCAGCCGAGTTTCAGGATAGAGGGGGAAGGAGAGAAAGCAGAGAAGGAGCGCCATAGCTGGGCTGCTGTGAGGGAGAGAGCCTGGCCTCATAAACTGGAATTAAAAGCTCAAGAGTGATTAGGAGGCCTCAGGACTATTGACTCCAAGCCTGTCCATTTTCTCCAAATGCCACAAGGGTATAACCCGGTCACTAGTGGAACTGGTGTCCATGTCCATCCTTTCAGGGGTCCTAGGATGACCCAGCTGCCCTCCAGTAGTGACCTCAGTACCCCTCTAACCTCATCCCTCCTGTGGAAGGAGAAGTCTACAGGGTCAAAGGCCATGCCTATCCAGAGACCCCATTCCCCGCCACCTCTGGCTCCAGATTCTCCGCCCTCGGGATCCCTGTCCGCACGCCCCATACCCTTGTGCACAGGCTCCCCCACGTCCTTCTGCCTGAGGGCTGGCTCTGCTTTCGGATATGTAGTTAGTGCTTCAGTTGCACCAACTACATTAGTACATCTCCACAGGCTGCAGGGTTTGGGAGGAAATGAGAGAGGGACAGGGCTCAGATAGGAAAGCTAGGGTGTCCACTGAGCCGTCCCAGGGAAAAGCAGGGTGACAAGCCGGAGAGGTAGGTTCAGGATGGCCCCGTGTCCCCGCAGTCAACACAGAACCCTGAAGAGTCTGAAAAATTTTAAATCACAGCCAGGCTTTCCAAGTCCTTACATGGTCCATCTGCCACGGTAGGAGGATAGAACACGTTGTACAATTCGTCTTGTCGTTTCGGTGTATAACTTTAAAAAATTCAGACACAAAGTATGAGTCTCCATTTGTCCTCTCGTCCCAGGTTCTGAAATGACTGGTGTCCACCCAGTACCCCCTTGGAGGAATGAAAGCCCAGACAAGGGCAGTGGCATGCTGTCTGCTCTGTCCACTTAGGCCCTCCGTCCACGGGTCCATTGACCGCAATGCCTTTGCTCTTCTTTTTCCAGAGGTCTGAGCCCAAGGCTGTTCTTATGACCCAAAGCTCTCTCCCTCTGACATGTGTTCTCATGCGCAAACACTCCAGATGAAAAAGGGTGATCCAGCTATGCCTCCCCCCGCCCCCCCGTTCTCCACGCTCACTGCGCCTGCCTGCTTGGCCTCCCTGTCCTCACATCGGTCAGACGCTGCCCCAGAGGAAAGGAAGGGGCAGACCCTTGAGAGGAAACCCCTAAGCTTCAAAGAGAGCCTGCAGAAACTCTGTGGTAGCTGTGGCCTGTGCCAAACCCAGTCATACTGAATATGAAGCTGGATTTGTGAAATGCCACAATTGTATGTGCTTATCTCTCCCAGCAAAACTGCAGATGTGCCTGGCCAGCTGAGGGAGAGACTGTTAAACATGCCTGAACTTCAGAGGCACAATTTCAAACAAAAACCATCTTTTCGATGATAGCAAGCAGACATCACTGAGAACCTTACTGAGCTTTGTGGGTTTCCATGACTCTTTGGTAGCCAATATAAAATATTAAATTATTTTGGAGAGCAACTGTTTATTGGTATATGTGTCTCCCTTGATAACACCGATTCTGACTGTGAGATAGAATTAAATACATTGTTCATAGGGCACTTACTCTGTGTAGAAGTGTTTCATTACTTTGGTATTGGATAGTGTGCTTCCACTCAGCACCCCACATAGAATGTTCAAAAGCAGGACGATATTTCCAGAGAAGGCTTAGCTATTCTCCAGCCCACTTCCTAAGAGCAAGGATGGGAATTTTAAGGGTCTGATCCCCATAACACAAGATCCGGGTACATACACAGACACACAGAGAAACCTGCTTTGCTCAGTCAGTTTTATTTTATTGGGTGTTTGGCAGCTTTCTATGGGTTTCTTCTGCTTTGTGGTCTCCAGCAAAGCTGTGCTGGCTTGAACACATACCTGGAGGCCTCTCGAGGATTGCGATTTGTGCAGAAATGAAAGATCTGAGAAGTGTGAGTGGCTGAGGATGTGGAGACAACAGCAGGTCTGTATGTTATAGAGAAAGGAGAGGCTTTCAGATCATGTACTTTGCAGGAGAGATCCAGCCACAGAGAACACATAGACTCTGTAAACCAACACCTTGTGTTTCAGGGTGGTGTAAAGAGCATTTTGTCCAGCATGCATGGGTCAACAGTGCATGTTCCTGGCATTCGAACTTTCTGCATTGTTCCTGAGGCTGTGTTCTTCCTGAATTCTTATTCTTGGATGAAGCCATTCCCTAAAAACCCTTCCTTCCAGACTCCATGATGTCTCTGTAAAATCTCACATGCATTTATCCAGTGCATAAGTGCCAGTCTCCATGAAAGGTCCTGGAGAGACCACTGTGAATAAAGCGTGTGGATCCCCAATGTCCAGTTGGATAAAGGAAGCTCTTTTTCTTCTTCTCTCCAACCTCTAAGGATGTGGAACCTTCTGAGTTGAAAATAGCAGACTGAGCATATGGCTTCTTTCAGTGTTCTTGATGCTTCTACTTGGTGAAGATGATAACCAGAAATAGTTTGCATCTTAGTAGAAACAAATAATGTGGTTTCATGGATAAAGCACTGGTTTTTGTCTGGGAACCTTATTTCTTACTTTTGCTGTCCTGTATGACTTCCACGTCTGAAGAATTAAGTGAAAGCAACCTCTTCAGATGGTGAATGGGTGATGGAAAATGGGTGAAGTTGGTGCAGTGGGAGCTGGAGTCAGTTTGCTCTGCTCACTAGAGTTGACTTAAATTTTCATGAATTCTGCAAGCTCACTGATATCACATTGGTAGCTTGAAATTGGCCACTAAAAGTGAAAGAGGGGAGTGAAAAAGTTGACATAAAACTCAACATTCAAAAAACTAAGATCTTGGCATCTAGTCCCATCACTTCATGGCAAATAGATGGGGAAACAGTGGAAACGGTGACAGGCTTTATTTTGTTGGGCTCCCAAATCACTGCAGATGGTGACTGCAGCCATGAAATTAAAAGATGCTTGCTCCTTGGAAGAAAAGCATTGACTAACCTCAGTTCAGTTCAGTTCAGTCACTCAGTCGTGTCTGACTCTTTGCAACCCCATGGACTGCAGCATGCCAGGCTTCCCTGTCCATCACCAACTCCCGGAGCTTACTCAAACTCATGTCCATTGAGTCGGTGATGCCATCCAACCATCTCATCCCCTTTTCCTCCTGCCTTCAATCTTTCTTAGCATCAGGGTCTTTTCCAGTGAGTCAGTTCTTCACATCAGGTAGCGAAAGTATTGGAGTTTCAGCTTTAGCATCAGTCCTTCCAATGAATATTCAGGACTGATTTCCTTTAGGATGGACTAGTTGGATCTCCTTGCAGTCCAAGGGACTCTCAAGAGTCTTCTCCAACACCACAGTTCAAAAGCATCAATTCTTCTGCGCTCAGCTTTCTTTATAGTCCAACTCTCACATCCATACATGACTACTGGAAAAACATAGCTTTGACTAGACGGACCTTTGTTGGCAAAGTAATGTCTCTGCCTTTTAATATGCTGTCTAGGTTAGTTGTAACATTTCTTCCAAGGAGCAAGTGTCTTAATTTCATGGCTGCAATCACCATCTGCAGTGATTTTGGAGCCCCCCAAAAATAAAGTCTGTCACTGTTTCCATTGTTTCCCCATCTATTGGCTATGAAGTGATGGGACTGGATGCCATGATCTTAGTTTTCTGAATGTTGAATTTTAAGCCAACTTTTTCACTCTCCTCTTTCACTTTCATCAAGAGGCTCTTTATTTCTTCTTCCCTTTCTGCCATAAGGGTGGTGTTATCTGCATATCTGAGGTTATTGATATTTCTCCTGGCAATCTTGATTCCAGCTTGTGCTTCATCCAATCCAACATTTCTCATGATGTACTCTGCATATGTTAAATAAGCAGGGTGACAATATACAGCCTTGACATACTCCTTTCCCGATTTGGAACCAGTCTGTTATTCCATGTCCAGTTCTAACTGTTGCTTCCTGACCTGCATATAGATTTCTCAGGAGGCAGGTCAGGTGGTCTGGTATTCCCATCTCTTGAGTAAATTTCCACAGTTTATTGTGATCCACACAGTCAAAGGCACTATCATAGTCAATAAAGCAGAAGTAGATGTTTTTCTGGAACTCTCTTGCTTTTTTTGATGATCCAACAGATGTTAGCAATTTGATCTCTGGTTCCTCTGCCTTTTCCAAATCCAGCTTGAACATCTGGAATTTCACGGTTCATGTACTGTTGAAGCCTGGCTTGGAGAATCAAATTCCATATGATTAACGGTGGAAGTGAGAAATAGATTCGAGGGATTAGATCTGATAGAGTACCTGAAGAACTATGGATGGCGATTTGTGACATTGTACAGAAGGCAGGGATCAAGACCATCCCCTAAAAAAAGAAATGCAGAAAGGCAAAATGGTTGTCTGAGGAGGCCTTACAAATAGATGTGAAAAAAAGAGAAACAAAAGGCAAAGGAGAAAAGGAAAGATATACCCAATTGAATGCAGAGTTCCAAAGAATAGCAAGGAGAGATAAGAAAGCCTTCTTCAGTGATCAATGCAAAGAAACAGAGGAAAACAATAGAATGGGAAAGACTAGAGAGCTCTTCAAGAAAATTGGAGATACCAAGGGAACATTTCATGCAAAGATGGGCATAATAGAGGACAGAAATGGTAAGGACCTAACAGAAGCAGAAGATATTAAGAAGAGGTGGCAAGAATACACCGAAGAACTGTACAAAAAAGATCTTCATGACCCAGATAATCACACTGGTGTAATCACTCACCTAGAGCCAGACATCCTGGAATGTGAAGTCAAGTGGGCCTTAGGAAGCATCACCACGAACAAGGCTAGTGGAAGTGATGAAATTCCAGTTGAGCTATTTCAAATCCTAAAAGATGATTCTGTGAAAGTGCTGCACTCAATATGCCAGCAAATTTGGAAATCTCAGCAGTGGCCACAGGGCTGGAAAAGGTCAGTTTTCATTCCAATCCCAAAGAAAGGCAATGCCAAAGAATGTTCAAACTACCACACAATTGCACTCACCTCACAAGCTAGCAAAGTAATGACCAACCTAGACAACATATTAAAAAGCAAAGATATTACTTTGCTGACAAAGGTCTGTGTAGTCAAAGGTATGGTTTTTCCAGTAGTCATGTATGGATGTGTGAGTTGGGCCATAAAGAAAACTAAGCGCTGAAGAATTGATGCTTTTGAACTATGGTATTGGAGAAGACTCTTGAGAGTCCCTTGGACTGCAAGGAGATCCAACCAGTCCATCCTAAAGGAAATCAGTCCTGAATATTCATTGGAAGGACTGATGCTGAAGCTGAAACTCCAATACTTTGGCCACCTGATGGGAAGAACTGATTCCTTAGAAAAGACCCTGATGCTGGGAAAGATTGAAGGCAGGAGGAGAAGGGGATGACAGAGGATGAGATGGTTGAATGGTATCACCGACTCGATGGACATGAGTTTGAGCAAGCTCCGGAAGTTGGTGATGGACAGGGAGGCCTGGCGTGCTGTGCTTCACAGGGTCTCAAAGAGTCCGAATGAACTGAACTGAGCTGATAAGAGTATTTCACCTTTAAAGTAGGCAGATGCTAAAACTTGGAGGTTTTTAATCCCCAGAAAATCAGATGTTGAATATTTTCTGGCATATCACTGATTAAAGGGGAGGATAAATATTCTAATGATGAAGCAGAAAGTGTGGAAAGGTACAGACAGCAGAGCCCCTTGCACCTTTGGGGATAGAAGAGGTGGAAATGTGCCTTTATGATTGTCTTCCTCACCTGTCAGTTGAAGCATCTTCCTTCGGATGGTCCAAAGGCCTCTGTTCCTTGTATTCATCTAGGAAACCCCCACCAGAGGTGACATCCGCAAGTTCTGTCCTGGCTTGATGGGGCTTTTTATCAGTGTGTATTTTATACCAAGGTCTTTGTTTGTTTGTTTTAATTCAAGTATAGTTGATTTACAATGTTGTGTTAGTTCAAGGTGTACAGCAAAGTGATTCAGCTATATTGTTTTTCAGATTCTTTTCCATTATAGGTCATTACAATATACTGAGTATAGTTCCCTGTGCTATACAGTAGGTCCTCCTTATTGGTTATTATCGGTTATCTGTTTTACATATAGTAGGGTATAACTGTTAATCCACAGATAATTTGTGAATTTATTCCTCTCCCACTTCCTCTTTGATAACCATGAGTTTGTTTTCTAAGTCTGTGAGTCTGTTTTGTAAATAAGTTCATATTTTAGATTCCATGTATAAAGGATATCATATGATATTTGTCTTTCTCTGGCTTACTTCACTTAGTGTGATGATCTAATGATGTAAGATGATCAACATCCATGTTACTGCAAGTGGCGTTATTTCATTCTTTTTTTGTGGTTGAGTAGTATTCCACTGTCAGAGAAGGCAATGGCACCCCACTCCAGTACTCTTGCCTAGAAAATCCCCTGGACGGAGGAGCCTGGTAGGCTGCAGTCCATGGGGTTGCTAAGAGTCAGACATGACTGAGCAACTTCATTTTCACTTTCACTTTCACTTTTCACTTTCATGCATTGGAGAAGGAAATGGCAACCTACTCCAGTGTTCTTGCCTAGAGAATCCCAGGGACGGGGGAGCCTGGTGGGCTGCCGTCTATGGGGTTGCATAGAGTCAGACACAACTGAAGTGACTTAGCAGCAGCAGTATTCCACTGTACTAATATCTATAGCACATCTTTTTTTTTTTTTAATTTTTTTCCATTTATTTTTATTAGTTGGAGGCTAATTACTTTACAACATTGCAGTGGTTTTTGTCATACATTGAAATGAATTAGCCATGGATTTACATGTATTCCCCATCCCGGTCCCCGCCTCCCACCTCCCTCTCCACCCGATCCCTCTGGGTCTTCCCAGTATAGCACATCTTATTGACGCCTCTGTTGATGAACATTTAGGTTTCTTCCAAGTCTTGGCTTTTGTAAATAGTACTGCAATGAACATTGGGGTACATGTATTTTTTAAATTAGAGAGTTTTTGTCTTTTCCAGGTACATGCCCAGGAGTGGGATTGCTGGGTCATATGGTGACTGTATTTTTAGTTTTTAAGGAGCCTCCACACTGTTGTCCATAGTGGCTGTACCAATTTACATTCCCACCAGCAGTGTAGGAGGATGACAACTCACTGTGACAGAGAAGCAAGACACTCACACTTTAGGCAAAATGTCCTGGTTTGAGTTACCAGGTGTAGGGGACACTGTTCAGTCCTTCCCGACTCCTTTGGGTCCTGGGTGTTTCCATGCACACTGGCCTGATTTCCAACTGCCAGCTTTGCCTGAGGGCTCTCTTTGGCTCCGAGAGTCCACTCTACCCACACCAGGGGTATATGGGAGCAGCTGGTGACCCAAGGCCCCTTGGGGGCAGCTTCCCACCATTAGCTGGAGGGAGTTGAACAAACATCCCAGCTCCCTGGCCCCTCAGTTGGGATCCAAGGCCGGTCTCCACTGGCTTTCAGAGCTCCCAACCCTGGAGGGCTGCAGGCCCTTCGCCCCTGGCTGCTTGCTTGATGCTGCAGTTTGTGCTGGTTGCCCTTCCTTCCCTGTGTCACACCCTCTCCTTGACCAGGGCATCGTGAAGGCACCTCTGATAAACCCCGTGGACGTGAATTCTTGACTGAGGGTCTCTGGAGACAGTTTACTCAATTTTTTAAAAAAGTGCCTTACTTCATCTGTTGTATCTTCAGTGTGGGCTCCATCCAGGTGCCGCCAGGTTATAAACCTTCAGTTAAAATGAACCACCAGCGTGGACCCTTTGGGGGCTTCCCAGGTGGCAAAGTGGTAAAGAACCCACCTGCTAGTGCAGGACATGCTGCAAGAGACATGGTTTCCATCCCTGGGTCGGGAAGATCCGCTGGAGAAGGAAATGGCAACCCACTCCAGTGTTCTGGGAAATCCCACGGACAGAGGAGCCTGGCGGGCCACAGTTATGGAGTCACAGAGAGTCAGACACGGCTGGGCGCTCGCGCGTGCACACACACACACACAGACCATTGTTGCCAGAGCGCTTAGGGAAGGGGAGCTGTAAACTCAGGTGCTCACATGTAGACAGTAGACCCGAGGGAGGCCTGGAGGGTGTGACTTCCCCCCATGGTGTCCTCTGGGTTCAGGGCCGATGTGGCTTATGGGGCTTCTTCACCTACGTGTGGTCATTGCACACGTGTGCCGACTCTGACCACCGACTACGCGGCGCTTTTCAAGTGAGGAGCTTAAAAGACACGTGCTTCTGAGAATGACCTTGGGGGCTACCCCTCTCTCTTCTTAGCCCTATTCCAGGCAGCAGCCCCGAGGCCCGAGGGGTGTCACTCAGAGGGGACAGGGAGAAGGAGGCAGCCGGTAACTCTTGGATGGCCCAACGGGTCAGATGGGGGCAGTGGGTGGGGGGTCAGGAGGCAGTTTCCCATCAGTGGGGAGGCGGAGCTTGTAACAGCCAAGCTGCCCCCTGTGTCCAGGGCACATTCACTGCCCTTGTTGGAGGCATCCACGCCTGCTTTGTAGGCATCGGCAAAGCTTCTGCAGCATCTCTGTGAGACCCCCTGTTTTCCAAGGGGAAGGCCCTCCCCTGGAATTGCTTACAGGACAACCCTGTGAGTGGCTGCAAGGCAGTCTCACTGTGAACACCTTCCTAAAAAAGAAGAAAGATTATTTTTATTCTCCTCGGTTACTCTTGTGAAAGTCAAAACACAGAGCATTGTTTCTAATTCTCTTTAAAAACAGTCACCAAGAGCCTGGGAATACAGTTCTTCTCTTCTGGTTTCTTACTTCCCGTAAATTAGTTTCTCTTTTCAACAAAAGATGTTTATGATCTTCAAAATGCTTTAAAGAGTTTAACAACTAAGAGAAAAAAAAACCAGTGCTGGGCAGGGAGACAAGATGCTCAAAGAACAAATTTTAAATTTAAATAACTTGAATCGTCCAGCCAGGGGCTGGAATTGAGATTTTTCTATCCAACTTGTAAAATCCTTGGTCATACAAAGATAATTACGGAAATATTCAGAGACCTTCCCTGGACCCAGACGCAGACCCGCCCCACTGGCTGTTACCTCTTAGTAAAGACGAAAAACATTCAAAAGAGGGAGGACCTGCCATCGTCGGAGTCACTCAAGGAACCAGGAGGAAAGGTGACATGCCTGTCCCGGGACCGGACTCGACCTAACAGGTCCCCGGGGGTGAGTCACTTTCTTCTACTTCAGTTCGATTGGCTGTAAAATGATTATAATAATGAGAGCTTGTTTACCAAGAGCCGAAGTCCACTTTGCCTCGCTTCATTCAGCTGCTAGGAGGAAGGAGGACGGGAGTGATTAGAAAGATTTCAGGGCCGACTTGCACAGCCACAGGCGAGGAGAAACCCATGACTCCAAGAAGCTGCGTCTTTTAAACAAGACTTGGGAGTGGAGGTCGCCAGAGTCAGTGTTACTGCTGCCGTTCTGGGGGTTCGAACTTGTACCTGAGGCGAACGGAATAGAACGGTAGAGGCTGGCTAAATAAATCAGGGGCAGGGGGAGGAGGGGGTGGGCGGTTGGGGTCCATCTCAGATGCAACCTCTCTTGCCAAGATCTGCAAGCTGGAATTTTAAGCAACAGCTGGAAACTTACCAGTGACTTGGCTCCGTGGCTCGGTGAACTGGAGCCCGAGCGCCGGGTATTCCAGCCCCGCCGGCCAGTCCCGCAGCCCAAGGTCGGGTGGCGGTATCCCAGCGCTGTCCTCAGTGGTTCCCAGTGAAAGGGTCTGGAAGGCCAGCTGGGAGCGGTCCTGCTCAGCACGGTCCATACCACCTGGAGCCCGATCAGACGATGCAGTGAGTCCTGGACACTGAAATCCCAGGACAGACTTCACCTCGGCACTCGCTCTTGGGGCTACATGGAGGCCACCACCAGGCTTCCTCCAAAGTGGCCGAGCCTGGCATAGGGGAAGAGTTGGGAATACTCGCTTCCTGCCTTTGTCCTGTAGTTGGACCACAGCGCCGGCTCTGTTTACATTCTTTCAGTGCTGTTATTGAAAGTGCTTGGCCGTATCCTTCCAAAGGGTTCGCAGTGTCCTTCGGTCCCTTTCGGATTTTTTTCTCTCTCTCTCTCTTTTTCTTTTTTTTTTTGCTAGCATTCAGCTAGCATCTGGAAAGATCCACTGGACATGCTGGGCTCCTTTCTGGAGACTCTGCTCCACCATTCAGGGAAACCAGGAAAGGAGCAAGCTTCCACCGTGTAAGTCTGGAGGAATTTGACAGCCTCTCTAACTACCGTACCTTTTGTGTATGTTGGTTCAGTCTGTTTGTGTACTGGGGTGGTTTTAGGATGAGATCGCTGGTATAACCCCAGGGTGGGGGAGAGATCAAATGAGAACCACAAGTGTAAAGAAAGTCTGCTTATCAATTGTATTAGATTTCTGTCCATGTTGAGTTGGGGTGTCAGAGGCTATGGTTTGGGAAGGAAACTGCTGCTCCAACAGGAAAGACCTGACACCCCAACTTCTTTGGGACCCTTGAGAGCTTTATTTGTAAGAATTTGAATAATGTGGATATACTGTTTGCTTGGATTTCATTCTCTGCAAAGGACCTGCTGTGGCCCTTGGCAGCCTGTCTTTGTCACCTGCTCTCATAGCCTTTTGAAGAAGCAGAGATGCAACCTGCATCCTCCGGAAGAAATGTGATGGATCTGCCAATTCCACACAGAATCCAGGCTGATCATTTCTTTGAGGACCACTTGAGGTAGACGTGTTCACATTCAAATTTTCAGGCAGCTAATTAAGCTAGTAAAACGAGGAATCCAGACTTCTCGGGGGTTATAGGCAATATTCCCTGCCTGTCCTGGCTCATCAGAAAGGGTTTGTATACGGAAAACTTCTGAACAGAACAAAGGGACTTAGGTCTGGATGAGGAATGAAGTCTTGGCTCCCAACATGCGATTCCTTCACTGCTGTGCAATGTCAAATTCCTTGCCGAGAAAGCGTCTGGAAGGAAAAGAATTACAGGCATTAGGCTTGGATTCAAGTGTACTTTTTTATTTGTGTGCTTCTTGGTTGAAACAGTTAATCATTTGCCCCTCAAGGTTCCACTGTGGTTGTGGTTCTGCTCTGGGCTCTGAAGACAGCACTGTGTTTTCCTTTGGGGGGCACTCCAGTCCCTGGACTTTGCTAATTAAGTGATGAACTTCAGAGGGCCTGGAACTGGGGCTCCGTGCAGCAGCTGAGCCCGTGAACGTGAATCTCAGAGTCAACAGAATCGCCATGGAAAGCGCACCAGTCTTCTCAGGAGGCTTTTGGAAGGTTGACCTTCATCCCAGAGGGATTCTGAGTGGAAAGAATCAGATGGAAGACAGCTCTGAACCTTTAAAGGGACGGAGCCACAGAGACATAACTAAAATGGGTGACAGCTCCAGAAGATGGGGTGGGTGCATGCTGTGTTCTCATTTTCTGAGATGGAAACCATGGGTCATCACAGCCCCCTGTGGATGTGAAGGAGTGGCAGGTCTTGGGGTAGAAACATGCCTGTTTCCAAAGGTCATCACTTCCTAATGCAAGCAGTTCTCTGCAACTTTTCTGCTTGTTGACATGTTTGTGGGCTGCTGCTGCCTCTGTCCCCCCAAGTTCATGATGAAAGAGCCTCAGCAAACTAGCAGCAGCTCCTGTGTCTTTGGGGCCTTCCCACCCCACCCCTGCCGCAGAATCCCTCTAAGATCCCCCAAACACATTTTCATTTAATATTTCCTTTATGGTCCTTCTGCCGGGCTGGTCGAGGTTAGGGTTAGCTACCTCTGAGAGCTAGAGGGCAGTTTAATCATCATTCCTGATGCAGGAAGCCAGATTGGAGATGCTTCCCTAGCGTGCGCTGGACGGGGCGGGGCCAGCTGCCTGTGTGCATGTGTGTTTTATTTATAAGTGGACATGGAAGGCGTTGCAGCCTAGAGACAAGATTATTGGGTTTTGATGCTTCAGTGAGGGCAATTCCAAGCTCAAATAGCTGCAGTTATGATTCAGAACCTGATCATGCCCTTAAACTCCCCTTTGCGTTCCAATGTCCACCCCACCTCCCCTCAGGTTATCCTGGAGCTATTTACATGCTGTTTCTTAACACAAACTGATCTCTGTCAACAAGCACACAGGATTTCATCCGAAGCTTTGATTTCTTAGGAGAAAAGAGAGGGATTTCTTCCTGGTGCCCTTGTGTTGACCTTGCCTGGGGGGGAGAGGGCTGGCAGAGCTGTTAATGACCTCATCCCATTCCTGCAGGATTTTCTGGGACACGCAGGGCCTCACTCTTCCGCTGGCCTCTGTGATCGGCCGCATTAAGTCTGTGAGCTTTGGAGCAGATTATAGTGACATCTAGCATTGTCCCTCTAGGACTTGAGCGTGAGGTCAAGCAAACACACAGAGCAATCATTATGCTATCCGCAGTCCCCGGGAGCCTCGGCCGTCAGCTGGAGGAGCGGGAGGGGGGGCGGCCAAGGTGGGGCTGAGTCTGAGCCATGGGCGGCAGGAAATCAGCCTGAAAGGAGATGGAAGGGCTTTGGTGGGAAATAAAACGGCACTCTTGTTGTTGATGGAAAAAGATCTTGGCAGGAGGGTTGTTGTGAGTGTTCTGTGGCTTAGAAAGGAATTTCCTACAGGCTGGACTAACCATCACACATGTCTCTACCTTCAGGAGTCCCCGGCGTGCAGGAGAGCCTCGTCGGGGGGCCATGTCAGCTCAGACCATGGGCACCCGCAGTCTGGACAAGCGAGGAAGTTTCTTTAAGGTAAAAGGGAGCCTCGATCGGGGTTGTTGATGGGCGTCTTGCCCCCAGTGCCGGACTGCACGGGGAGCTGCAGGACTGTGGAGAGGGGAGGGGGAAGCCCGCTCCCTGAACCAGCTCTGGCTGGGGAGCTCGCCTGAGCCCAGCTGGGAGCTCCTTCTGGCTTTGGTGGGAGACGGGGGCTTTTGTGAGTCCGTGCTTCCAGACAGGCTCAGCACCCAGACACAGGGAGATGCTACCTGTATGAGACAGGTGAGACAACCTTCCCTTGTCAACTGCTCACCTGCTCCTTTTTCACCTGGATGGTTTTTGATGGAAGCTGGGCTCAGCATCTGAGTGTGCTTTACCCTTGGCTTGATTCTGCGAATCATTTAGGTGCTTGTTAAAAGAAGAGAAGGACACACAGATTCCTGGGCCTTACCCTAGACTGACTGAACGCTTTTGCTGGTATATTTTATCAAACACCCCCAGAGGCCCCTTAAGAGAGAACCCAGGCAGCATGATGAAAGCTGGACCACTTTTCTACATGCCTGTTGATGTCAATGGGGGACCTTGCTAGGTTAATGAGATGAGCTTCTCGGTGGGTTTTTATATACTCGAGTGTGTGTTTTAAATTAAGACCTGACAATTGTTTCTAATGTACACGAGGGAATTCATTTTCTTTTTATGGTGTTTGCTTTGCTTCCTCTCACTCACCCTCCAAATAATGCAAACTCATTGTAGAAAATTTGGGAAATGCAGAAAATGTAAAATCAGAGGGAAAGCGGGAGTAAAACATGCATTTGCAATGTGTCACAGGCAGGTGTTCAAATACCAGGTCTTTTCCTCAAAGCGGGAATGAAATAGAGGCCTTCTTATTTTGGAGGAAAACTGACTATATTTACTGGTTACCCCACCCTGGTGGGTTGTAGGTATAGAGTAACTCACATTTAGATGCTTCCTGTTTCCAAGAGAACCAAACCTGATTTCCTGTGTCAGTTCTGGGCTGCAAAATTTTCATCAGAAAAGCCTGTTGGTAAAGCAAAGCCAAGTTCATTCAACAGACTGTCAAAAGAAGACATGGTCAGGGCCTGGGCCTGTCAATGTCTAGGCAAAGGGGGTTAGGAGGTGTCTTTACAGGGTTTAGAGGTCCACGTTCAGGCTGTTTAAGCTGTGCTTTTTCAGGCAGAGAATTGACTGAGTTTCAGCAAAGTTTGTGGTCACATAGTATGTAATACAGTTCAGGATGGGTGGATGCAGCATGTCAAGAGTCTTAAAGCGAGTCTTCGAGAATAAACCATTGATCAGCAAAGCTGTTTTCCCAGGTGAGCAAACTAGTGTGCCAGGACAGATTGTTTTGTAGGAATTTCCTGCCGTAAACAGCAGATTTATTTATTGGTTTACAATAACTTCCTGGAAGAACTAGTCAAGTCATGTTGACACAGATGGTCTCGATTCTCAGTCCTGAGAGTTGAGCTTTGTCCACATAGCTGTCTTAGTTCACAACCATTTACTCGATTTGAATCAAACCTGTGTAAAATCCACCAGCAGAGGCACAAGAGGGACCCCCCAAGCATCCCGTGGACCAGGTGCTAACCCACCAGGCTTTTGACTCATCTCCAGTTCTTGGATTCTGACTTATGCTGAGATATCCATTTCATCTTGCTGGAAGCGGGGAACCCAAGTCCCCATCCCCCAAGGCAATGCCTACCTCAGCCTAAATGTCGGCTTGTCCGTAATCAGCACCCTAGCCTCAGGAAGCAGAGAGTGACTGAATCTCACGTAGTAGTTAAAGTCCAGGCAAAAGGAGAAAACAGAGTCCAAATTGCCTTTGAAAATTCCTAAGGACTTAATTGCACCCAATACTACCTACTGTTAAGTTCAACATAATCAGTTTTTCCTGCAGTCCTGGGAAAAATCTTTTTTGTTTTAATGTGTTTTTAGTTGAATTAACAGGTAAATAGTTAACTTGTTATGTCCTATGAAAGAATCCATCAGACAAGAAGTGAGAGGCTGAGGGCAGGTCCCCTTCTCTGCTGAGTCAAATGGCCTTGAGGAAAATGTTACAAGTGGCCTGAACTATATAACTTGGTATTGTCTCCCCTTCCCCACCGCAGAGCTTAAAAATCGTAAAAAAAAAAAATTTTCACACTGAGGACAATAATTAAGTTTTAAACATTATAATGATAGTTAAAAAAAAAAAATCGTTTCCTTTGTTAGATGCTACAAGATGATACAGTTACCTTATATTTCTTTCTCTCCTCTTTTTTACAGACATTGTTATTCTTTACTGTAGCTATTTCATAATTAGTTATCATGGAATAATAATATTTGTTATTATAATATTGAAAGTGAAAGTGTTTGTCAGTCAGTGTGTCCAGCTCTTTGCAACACCATGGACTGTAGCCCGCCAGGCCCCTCTGTCCACTGGATTCTCTAGGCAAGACTACTGGAGTAGATTGCCATTCCCTTCTCCCGGGGATCTTCCTGATCCAGGGATTGAACCCAAGTCTCCTGCATTGCAGGCAGATTCTTTATTAGATAAATAATATTATTAGCTATTATTAATTATTCCATCATTTTTCCATGTGGTTACCTGCAAGGATGGACTCATCTGTCCTTTGGACCTTTAATATTGACCCCTTGAAGGTTTGTTGTGAAAAGGCCAGGTAGTGTTCAGCTGCTGAGATGGGCTGTCCCTCAGCGCAGCCCAGAACCCACTAGCTCTTCCTTTATTCCTCAAGCTTCATTTTGACTCACATTGACCAAGTACCTGTGATCAGCCAGGCTCTGTCCTAGGCACCAGGGAGAGAAAAACCAGAAGCCATCCCAGACTTCACGGAACTTTCAGTCTGGTACCAAACCAGGATATTAATCCAATATAATAGTAAACCCATAGTGATAATCATAGGAGAAAACAGTGCTTCGTGAGAGAAGTAAAAGGGACTCTGAGGACAGATAGCTCGACATGGGTCCCAGAACAGTCTTCCCTAGAAAGTGGCATCTGACCTAGAGCTGAGGTTGAATCTAGGGGTCAGAGTAACTTTCTTGTGCCACTGTCCTTCCACCCTCCACATAGACTCGCGATGCCCTACGTCTGGGTAGGACCACTTCATAAATGTGAGAGTTCGTGGTTACATTCTTGACTCACAGCTGAATTCCACACAGTCATTATCCCTTTCTTTTTTATTAGGGCTCGCGTGACTTTGTGGAAAGCGTGGATCCTTGAAAGGCAATCACCAGACCTCTTTTTCAGCCTCATCTTCCCTACCCAGTTTGTGCTTTAAGCTAGAGTTGCTAAGCGCTAGCAGCGAGCCTCGATTTGTGGCTTTGCCTCTGTCCTAGCTCCTAGCAGTGACTCAGCCAAGTTGCAGGACATGAGGTCCTGGGTAAGGCGGATGGTCTGAACATTCTGGGGTAATTGAGAATACCCTGGGGTTATGGTGCTCTTGGACTCTCATCCTGGAATCCTGGCCACAGAAATCCTGTGCTGAGCAAACACATGGTCCACAGCCCTTCCAGCATCATTGCTAATGTTCCTCAACTGCCTGTGAGAATAGTATCTTCCTGCCCTGAAAGGTCTTAATGTTGGGGAGGCAGCAAAGTTATTTGCACCTACATCAACGTGAACACCGATAGCTGTCACCTTGCAAGGCTATGTGGTGTGGAGGAGACTGTATAAGGAAGACATCATCTGGGCTCGGAGAGTTGTAGGCGGTCCTGGCCCAGGGCTGAGCAGCTCCTCATCATCTTGGATCCTTCTATTTGCTGGATCCCTAGCTTCCCCAAGCTACCCCTCCCCTTCCTCATCCAGGCAGCCAGTGCTGGCAGATCCCCCTCAGGTCTTCAAGCTCTACCCTTCCTCCCCTTCCCTGCATCCTCCACCCTACCTAGGATCTGGCTCTTTCCTTGTGGGCACACACCACAGGTGATGCTCAGAATCCATCTGCACCACCTCTGAATGCAGATGGTTGATTGGTTGGTTGGTTCTTTCCAATCATTCCATCTATCCATGTTGCCTGCTTGCAGACTGACCCTGGCTCTCTGCTACATCCAGGACCAGGTCTGCACTCTTCACCTTGACATTCAAGGACTTCCAGACCTGCTCCCAGCTCATCCTTCACCCATCCTGCCCCTGTGCCCTCCCGGGTCTGCTCCTGTAGCCCAAACCTGCTGTGTCTGTCCTCCTCCCACCCTATGCTTTCTCCCCATCAGGCTCCCAGCTGCCCTTCCAGGCTGGCGTCCACCCCGTTTCTCCATTGACAGCAGGGGGCTGAGCTGGTGTCCGCCCAGTAGTAGAAATGTCATGTAGACCTAGCCGTGGGCCACAGCCTAGTGCCAGGACATCCCCCTCTATTTATAGCTTGAGCTCTGCCACGAGGGACTTGTTCTGGCCTGTGTTGCCATGTCTCTGACCCCGAGGGGGATCCTCTTAGAGCAGCAAAGATGCTGGAAGAGAACCAGTATGACTGCCCCCAGGCAGTGCTACTGGCTTCCAGGCCTGCCTGCCCTTGGCCGCCCACATGTTCGTAGGGTTCCCTGATGCTGCATGTCTGATCCTTCTCCTTCCCTTACTCCTGGGACAAGGGAACAGCTGCTCTTAACTGATCAGGAAGAAAATGTGTTTGACCACAGGGCCCCTGCTGTCCTGTGCCTCCAAGCCCCCATTCGTCCTGCAGGGAGATGCCCAGAGCCTGGACTCACAAACCATCTGGATGTTCGAGGGGCCAGTTCAGCAGCAGAGGCTCTGTTTGAGAAATCCCGTTTTGGTCATCTTGCACAGTTGGGATAGCAGGTGCATGACGCTTGTCTTTCGAAAACAGAAAGCCTGGGGTTGGAGTTTAGACAAGCCTTGGAAGTGCTCTCTGGCTCCATGAAGAACAGAGGTGTGACTGGCTTTGAAGAAACCTAATTGCTAAAATCCGACTCTGCAAAGTAGATGAACTGGGGGTGATGATTTGCGTCACTCCAACCGACTTTCCTTAATGACTGGTCTCTCCTCGGCATTTGAAAAGTTACTCTGTTTTGAAAACTTTACAGACACATTTTCAATCATCCAGAACTGGCACCCCTGCCCATCTCAGTCCTCAGGGATTCCCAGTGTTTGAGTTTGAAGATGATCCTTTGTGGAAAGTCACGTCTCCGAACGCACTGCCTAGGACAAGAAGTCAGTGTTGTGGAACAGTGGTCAGAGATGGTGGGTCTAAAAAAGTATAGATAGCCTGTAGATAGATTCATCAGTACCATCTTTCCAGATTGCATATATATGTATTAATGTGTGTGTTAGTCACGCAGTCATGTCTGACTCTTTGCAAACCCCATAGACTATAGCCCTCCAGGCTCCTCTGTCCATGAAATTCTTCAGGCAAGAATACTGGAGTGGGTAGCCTATCCCTTCTCCAGGGGATCCTCCAAACCCAGGGATCGAACCCAGATCTCCCTGGGTCACATTGCAGGCGGATTCTTTACCAGCTGAGCTACCAGGGAAGCCCATATGTATTAATATACAATATTTATCTTTCCTTTCAGATTTAATTCCCTTTGTATAACAGGCTTATGTTGATGTATGACAGAAACCATCACAACATTGTAAAGTAATTATCCTCCAATTAAAAATAAAATTTCAAAAAAAGGAATGGATGGAATCCCAAATCACATTTTAGTAGTTTCATGGATCAAATCCCTACATGAATATGTGGGTGCTTAAAAGCCACAGACATGAGCATTTGTCTCCCATTGTGTCCCCTGGATGGTGGACTTCTGTCCACTGATTCTGACCAGGAAAGGACTAAGTGCCTTGCATTAGAAACAAAATAGTGATTAGAGATTTGGTCAGAGCGACTGACACGTGGTTACTTATTCTTCATAATAGCACAAAGCATACCTGACATCAGTATTTGGTGTGTCTTTGCTTTGCTTCTAGAGGCTCACATCTGGAGAGACCATAGAGCAGTGCTGTTCCCATAGAAATACATAGAAACTGCAGATGTCGTTTTAAATGTTTAAGTAACCACATTAAAAAAGAGTGAAATTGATTTTAATATTTTATCAAACAGTATATTTAAAATATTGTCATGTCAGCATGTCAACAAGATAAAGTTATTAATCAGATATTTTACATTTTTATTGGTACCAAGCCTTTGAAACCCAGTGTGTATTTTACACCGAGTGTATCTTGATACAGACCATCAGCATTATGAGGGCTCTGGAGCCCACGTGGCTGGTGGCTAAGTATTGGAGAGTGAAGGCTTGCATTTTGTCTAGTGTAAACCTCCTCCTTTCACAGAGGAGAATACTCAGGTCCAGGAAGGCTGAAGCCCCAGGGTCTGGTTGTTGATCCACAGCGGGGGTGGGAATGGGACTCAGCCCGAGTTTCTCATGTGCCCCCTGCCCCACTCACACCCTGTATAGACCTCCTGAGGCTTCTGCTCCGATCCCTTACCCCCTTCTCCACTGAGATCCCCTGGGAAACACTGTCTTGGAGACAGTGTCCTCTCTCTGGAGGACCTAGGACTTTTTTTGGATACACAAGCATATCTTTCACCATCTACTCCACATGCCTCCAGGACACAGATCAGCATCCTCTCCCTCCCCAGGCATGACTTTCTAGGAATGCCCCCAAACGTTTTGGACAGCATTTCCTGTTCATGTTTTCAAAATGCTGTGGACTTCATGGTTTTATAGCATCACTTTCCTAGCACACTTTGGCCATCCCTTTCTGATATTAAATGTAGCCTGGTTGGGCCTCAGCACATCCTCACTTGCTCCAAGGAACTTTGCCTTTTGAACATCAGAAAGGAATAAGATTCTCCCAGTCCCCCTCAACCACATCATCTCTGCAGGCTTACTTGTAACTCTGAGTTTTCATAACTAGGGGGGGGTACCCAGGAGGAAGGTGTAGGTTTGAAGGACTCTTGTTTCACTGTATGATTTTTCAAAAAGTTAAATCATGCAATATAAAATGAACATCTTATACAACATAAAATGAACATCTTTTGAAGCTTTATTCAAACCATGCATGAATCTAGGAGGCCAGTATAAAGCTGGTTCATAGAATACCTGGACAAATGATATATTTGTAGTTGACTTAAAAAGTCATTCTGGGAATTCCCTGGCAGTTCAGTGCCCTGGACTCTGTGCTTCCACTGCAGGGGGCACCAGTTTGATCCCTGGTTGGGGACCTAAGATTCCACATGCCACCTAGTGTGGCCAAAAAATTAAAAAAGTCATTTTGTAATAACTTTGCGAAGTTAAAGTCAAAACGGGTGATAGTCCTACAGGGCAATACAACTGTAACCTTTGGGGTAATCTCTCTTTCTGAACAGAAATCTCCAGGCAGACATGTAACTTCACAGTGCCTGAGCCCTTCATTAGCAGCAACAGAGCAAAGTTAAATACAGATGCAACCCTTAGATAACTAGTGTTTCGGTGGCCTAGTGAAACAGTGCCAGAGCATGACAATGAAAGGATGTACTCAAAGCAAAGGAGTCTTCCTCCTGGAAACTTCAACACTTTCTAATAAATAACCCTTGGGTGACAGAGGGATTATAAACTAGAATTTTAGGAATAGCTTCTTGCCATTAACTTATGGGGTATCAGGAGCCCACTGTCCCAGACAGAAAGCTGCCAAGGGAGGAACTAGTGTGGGATGGAGTCTCCTTTCTCTTTTGCCTTACCATCTAAAAAGGAGCATGGCCTGTCCAAAAATACCTCCCCCACCTTCCTGTAACACCAACTGGAGGTTCCCCTGAGTTAGCATGTCCTGACAGAATGTCAAATGATGTCGTCAGTCATTCACAACTTAGTATAAATGAGGACTTTCTGAACTGTTAGCTGAGATCAGCCCAGAGAAGAAACTTGAGTTTATGAATGTTGAGGAGAAGGGATGGAAAAGGTAACTTAGGATCTCTGAGGGGAGGACAGGACTCAGGGACCCACAGTCAGTGGGCTGAGCAAGCAGGGCACCAGTCATCTGGCGTGGGGAGGGCCTCAGGAAGTAGTCAGTGAAGAGGCCGTGTGGTTCCACATCTTTCACTGCTCAGAGAAAACCATTTCTATCCTCACAAATCTTCTGATACCGAATGTGTAGGCTTTTCCTACACTGACCACATCAGTTCTCTGTGAATACCAGCAAATGTCCTACAGTTTAACTCAATTCTAACACTACCCAGTGTCTAGCACTACCCAGACCTCCCAGGTTAGGGACTCAGTCTGGCAGGACTGCCCCCAACTTCAGATGCCATCACAAGTAGGGGGGTTTCCTGGTCACCCACACTCTTTCCAGCTCGCACTTAAGTTCAGTACAGGGGACCTAGGAGATGTTGTGGGTTCCATTCCAGAATACAACAGTAGAGCAGATATCACACCAATATTTTGGTTTCCCAATGCATGTAAAAGCCATGTTTGCAATATCCTATAGTCTTATTAAGGGGCTTTCCTGGTGGCTCAGTGGTAAAGAATCTGCCTGTCAATGCAGGAGATGCGGGTTTGGTCGTGGGTGGGGAGGATACCCTGGAGAAGGAAATGGCAACCTACTCCAATGTTCTTGCCTGGAAAATCCCACAAAGGAGCCTGGTGGGCTACAGTCCACGGGGTCGCAGAAGAGTCAGACACCACTTAGTGCCTGAACAACAACATAGTTTATTAAGTATGCAATAACATTATGACTAAAAAAAAGTACACATTTTAATTTAAAAATATTGTTAAATTTTGCTATCATCTGAACCTTCAGCAAGTCGTTATCGTTTGGTTGTAGTAACATCGAAGATCACCTGTCACAGATCACCATCACAAATACCATAATAGTGAAAAAGTATGAAATTCTGTGAGAATTATCAAAATGTGACCCAGAGACACGAAGTGAGCACATGCTATTAGAAAAATGGCCCATAGCCTCGCTTGATGTGGGTTTGCCACCTCCTTTCAATTTGTAAAAAATGCAGTATCTGGGGAGCAGAGTGCCATAAAGCAAGTGTTTATCTTCCTGTAATTTGCTACAATGGTCACAGAACTCCAGGAAACACTTTATTTACTGTTAGCAGTGTGTTATAAAGGATACAGTTGAACAGCCAGGGCAAGCTGTTGAAGGGACCTACGCACAGGAGCATCTGTCCCTGTGAGTTTGGGTGTGTCACCCTCTCAGCCTATCCCACCAGCAGCGATCCAAACCCCTCCACATAGAGCTTTTACGGAGGTCATTGTGCTGTGTGTGTGTTGTGTGTGTGTGTGTGTGTGCGTGTGCATGAATGCGTGCTTAGTCGATCAGTCATATCCGACTCTTTGGGACCCCACGGACTGTAGCCCACCAGGCTTCTCTGTCCATGGGATTTTTTCAGGCAAGAATATGATAGTGGTTTGTCATTTCCTTCTCCAGAGGATCTTCCTGACCCAAGGATTGAACCCAAATGTCCTGTTTCTCCTATATTGCAGGCAGATTCTTTACCAACCCTGAGCCATCGGGGAAGCCCCGTTGTGTTGGCAGATTGATTAAATCATTGACCTTTGGTGACTGGCTCAACCCCCAGCCCCTGTTCTTGGTGGTGGGGTGGGGGTGGGGCTGAAAATACCAACCCTCTAATCATATGCCTGGGCCCCCTGGCAACCAGCCTGCATCCTGAAGCCTTCCAGGGGCTTCTAGCCACCAGGCATCTATGACTTAAACTCAGGCCCGGTAGAAGGAGGTTTGCAGTGAGTAACTAAAGACACTCCCATTCCCTCTACCTCTCAGGAGATCCTGAGAGTTTGGATCAAAGGCCAAATATCCCTTATCAATTCAGTTCAGTTCGGTTTAGTTGCTCAGTCATGTCTGACTCTTTGCGACCTCATGGACTGCAGCATGCCAGGCTTCCCTGTCCATCACCAACTCATGGAGTTGACTCAAACTCATGTTCATTGAGTCAGTGATGCCATCCAACCATCTCATCCTCTGTTGTCCCCTTCTCCTTCCGCCTTCAATCTTTCCCAGCTTCAGGGTCTTTTAAAATGAGTCAAATATCCCTTATGATGGCACATATTCTGACATCATATACTATAGCATCCTTATGATGTCACAATAGTGCAGGTAGGACAGGTATGTTGAGAGTTGGGTCTCTGGAGGCAGACAAAGCTGGTCTCATCCCAGTTTTGTTATCTACTTCCCATGTGACTTTGAGCTACCTACCTCAACTCTCTGGACCTGTTGCCTCTTCTGGAAATTGAGGATTAAGGCTCCCTGCCTCCTAAGGCTGCTGTTACACAAATTCAGTGATATTATCCCCAAGCACCTGGAACATATTAAGATTCAGAGGTTGCAGGGTCCCTGAGTGCCAGGTTCCACACCTGGCTGGCCTGCCTCCTGCTGTGAAGTTGACTGCTTTGTTCAGGGCACAGGTTTTTTTGTAGAGACTGGCCTCTCCTTTGGGCAGGTGAAGTGTGCTGACTTTGGGTGGTGTTGGAACTGAATTGAATCTTAGGACATCCCCCTGGGGGAATGTGTTGCCTTCTTGGTTCCATTCTCTTGGCTGTTAAGTAAGGGTCTCCTATAGGGAGGATTTCCTTCCCTGAACAGTCACAGATAAGAACCCCTGTGGGTTCTTGTTAACAGGCAGATTCTCACATCCACTAAATCAGAACCTCTAAGGGAGGAAATGGAACTGTTTGCCTTAACAAGGGCCCCAGTGATACTTGTTTGTGGAAAGACCAGAAGACACTAATGATCTAGGTAGGCCTCTCAAGGTGAGATGCCTGAGTCTGTGTCTTTGCATTTACCTGTGTGTTAGGAAGTAATTGACACATGAAATGTGGTCTTCTGATGGACGGGCAGCGTTCTCATTGGCCAGAGTTTGTTACCGAGGCAGCCTCAACCAGTGGTTCTCAATGTGTGGTCCTGGCTCTGGTCTCAGCTTCACCTGGAGACGTCTTAGAAATGCAGGTTCTTGGATTTCAGTGCAGACCTCTGGAATCAGACTCTAGGGGTTGGGCCTTCAAAGGATGCAGAGCAGACATCCAACCCAGCACAGCTCGGCTTGCTGGTCAACCTCCTCATGTCTCTGTGCCCAGCTGCCCCTTCTCCTTGCTCTCGAAACACCCCCAAGTCTTCCCATCACTTCTGGTTCACTCTGTCTTGCCCTCCACCTTTTCATCTTTATTGTGCATATCATCTTAGCCCGTCTGGAGCCATGGACTGTGTTTTCCAGCTCTGCACCTTCTTGGAATCAGTCTTGAAAACGTTGGGCTACAGCCAGCTGCCCACTGCCACTTTAGGAAGGTTGCGAGGTCTCCATGTGTGTTTGTTGCTCAGGCCCGTCCCAGAGTCTTTGAAATATGTCCTCAACCTGAAATATGCAGAGTAGACTGGAGGGGGCCCACCCAGGGACCCAGACGGTCACTCTGGGCAGAGTTAGCCAGCTGTCACCTTCAAGTCAGAGCCGGCTGGCACCTGTGTTTGTGGTGGGGACATGGCCACGCCCGTTCATTGAAGTGTTGTCGAGGCATGGGCTCAGCAGTTGTAGTAGGCAGGAAAAGCCTGAAGAATTGTGCCCCACCACCACCATTTGTGCGTAATTTCAAATAATTTTTTATTTTTCCTCTGTGACACAGAAGTTAACTTTGAATGATGAAATTAAATAAATGGGATTAAGTTTAATGATGAAGTTAAAATGCTTCCCTCCTGGAAACTTTTGACAACTGAGTGCTCGGCTCTGCAGCCCCACCCAGAACCAGCCAGGGTTCTTATGGCCACAGAGGGGCCGGGCACTTCCCCTAGGCTAGTGCCCATTCATCCCCCTCAACTGAGTGATCATTGCCCCTTTTACAGATGAGAAGACTGAGGCTCAGGGAGCTTATGGTCTCCCTCACAGGCCACCCAGGGGGCAGGAGTTCAAACTAGCCTTCCAACCAGGGCTGTGTGGTTCCGGGGCTTATCAGGAAGCTTGGCAGGTCTGCCTGGTGACCCCTGATCCTTGACTCCCTAGGGGGTGAAGTGTTAGCCCCGGGGGCTGGGTGTGGTCGGGGCGCCCTGGGGAACAAGGCCCAACCGGGCCTCGGAGCCCAGCTGCTGTGTAGGAAGAGGTGTGTCGGCCACGCTTCCTCTGACTTGAGTTCCGAGGGTGCTTGGATAAAGATTTTGAGGACAAGGAACAGAGTGGCCTGAACTTTCCAAAGCGGAGATTTCCTAACAAGAAGAATGTGCAAAGTAAGCTCTGGAGATAAGCTGGGAGAAAGAGGGAAGTGACTGCTGGCAGTCTGGTTTTCATTCTTAAGTATGTTGTATTAATTTCCCGCCCCCCCACCCCACCCAGGAGTCAGGAGTGAAGGTTTTGACTGATATCATTTCAAATTTATAGCAGAGTTGTAAGGATGGCACAAAGGATTCCTTGTGTACTGATATATATGTGCATGTTATGTAATATCACGTATTCATATGATACAATTTCACATTTCCTTAGAAAGTTGCGAGAAGAGTTCAAGAGACTTCTGTATACCCACAGAAGTCATCTGGCCAAAGGCAGGTGTCTCATCTGAACCAAAATGCTCAGACCCCAAACCAGGCGAGAGCTTTGGGGCATTTTTCATGGCACAAAAGGAAGGCGTGTGGGCTAGGACCCAGCTCTCCAACTCCGGCCCCAGCCTCGGGCCCGCTGGTAAGGCCAGCTTTTCCCTCCTGGAGTATCTTGGTTCGGCCCCCTGGTTCCAGAAGTCTGTCCAGCACTGGGAAGATTCCAGGCCTCCTAGGCTGGACTGGTCACTCCTGACCATCTTGGTGTGGAGCATCTGTCTGTTCTCCATCTGGAGTGTTTAAGATGCAGAGGTGTGGGGACCCCGGGCTGTGGGGACCCCTGGCTGTGGGGACTGCACTTTATCCCGGCGCCAAGAGGCACCACCTGCAGAATGCCAGCTGGGTTGGCCCTGGGTCCACGGGTGTGGAATTTGTGGACGTGCTGTCCAGAGGTCACACCTCTTCACATCTTGGAGCCCCTGGGGCTTCGCTTCAGATGACCATTACCTTCTTAGGGGAGCCCAGGGCTTAGGCTGGAACTGGGTTATTGTAGCTTATTTCCTCCAAAGATGGTCCCTATAGCACAGATCTGTGAAAAAAAAGACAAAACAAAAACTCTGATACCCTGCTTTCTGATTTTTGTGGATTTGAGGTTTTAATTGTGGTGAAACATACACAAAATTTACCATTTTAAGTGTACATTTCTGTGGCATTACATGTGCTCGCATTATTGTGTAACCATCGCTGCCATCCAGTTTCGGAACTCTTATACCTTCCCCAACTGAAACTCCATCCCCATTAAACACTGGCTTCCCGGTCCTTCCTCCCCCAGCCCCCGGCAGCCACCACGCTGCTGTCGATCTCTGTGAACTTGACTACATTCCGGGAACCTCGGATCAGTGGAATCGTACAGTGTCCTTTTGTGATGGGCTTATTTCACCCAGCATAATGTCCTCAAGGTTCATCCATAATGAAGCGTGTGTCAGAATGTCTTTCTTTTTTAAGGAGGAATAATACTCAGTTATATGTGTAATCTACATTTTGTTTATCCATTCATCCATAATGAGCATTTGGGCTGCTTCCACCTTTTAGCTGTCGTGAGTAATGCTGCTGTGAACATGGGATGGCTTCTGTTTCTAAAGATCTTAGTTCTCTTGCCCTGAGTAAGAACGTTAAAACTTCTCTGATTAAAGGCACATCACCCGCAAGGTACATAAGCATGTCAGAGGGCGAGGGATGTGCGCTAGGACTGAAGTTAAGCCTGAGTCTCTTGCAAAATGTGGCTCCTGGTGTCTGCTGGCGGGGGCAAGGGCCCTGCAGTCAACTCAGTGAGCAGGGGAGCATGACTGTGACTTTGGGGCAAATCAAAGGTGTCCCAGTTATTACCGGCTATGGCCACTCACCAGATGTGTGTTTCTTGTTACTTTTCTTTCTTAACCTTCCAGTCACATTGTAAGGCTTTTTAGTGACAGGTTTAGAGATGGGGACAATGTCTTACACTTCTTCTGGTGCCCATTTAGCCTGGTGCCCCAAAGGTGGCCAGTCTTCAGTAAATGTGAGTTGACCGTGGCTCTCAATCCAAAACTTTTTTTTGGTCAGAGTTGTCCCTCCAGGGTGGGAGGAAGCTAGGGTACCTGTGCACCAAGCCCTTCCGCACCCCCACACCCCTGCTGCATATGTCCTCAAGGCATCCACAGCCTTAGGCAGGGGGGTCCCGTTGTCTGCAATGGAACCTGAGGGAGCAGCGACCCCAGGAGGCAGAGGTGGGCGCTGCTTGTATTTGCTGCATGTGGCCCACCTAATGTTCTGAGCTGGGTGCCTCGCTGACATCCCCATCGGTGCTTCAGCTCCTGATGAGGAACTAGCCTTTGCACTTTAGTAAGTTTCAGTGTTTCTGTGATTCATCACCTCCAAGTTGCTAGTCATCTTCACAAGACTGAAAATGACCAGACTGTACATTTTCTTACAGTCCAAATTCCCTTTTCAGAATCCCTCTGCCTTCTTCCTTCCCTAAATTAAGTGTATGCTCTCAGAGGATGTTGTCATTCTCAACTTACAGAAAAAAACATTTTTAATGATTAATTTCAAAAATTTCACCTTAATATTGCAAGTTGTAGATTCATGGCTCTTTTCCTGTTACTTTCCCTTTGACTCCTTACTCCTTTATTTCTCTTTTAAAAAAAAAAAAAATTGAAATTCCATATATGGCAATTGCTATTACTAGGGACCATGTCAGCATCTCCTTAGGTCATCACTTCCTTAAGAGTTTCTGTAAAACCTGAAAATTGTCCTCAACAGAGTCTTAAAGATCAAGGGGAACTTATATGCAGAATATAAAAAAACAACAATAACACTAAGACATGAACTTATTTATAAAACAGAAACAGACTCTCAGACTTAGAGAGTGAACTTACAGTTACTGAGGTGGAGGGTGGGGGGGAAGGGTAGATTGGGAGTTTGGGATCGACATGGACACGCTTCTCTATTTAAAATAGATAACCAACAAGGACCTACTGTATATCGCAGGGAACTCTGCTCAATATTTTATAACAACCTAAATGAGAAAAGAGTTTGAAAAAAAAAAGGATACGTGTGTGTGTGTATGTGTGTGTATGTGTGTGTGTGTGTGTGTGTGTGTGTGTGTATTATAGAATCACTTTGTTCTATACTGAAACTAACACAATGTTTTTAATCAACTATACTCCAATATGGGCTTCCTAGGTGACTAAGTGGTAAAGAATCTGCCTGCAATACAGGAGACTCGGGTTCGATCCTTGGATCAGGAAAGATCCCCTAAAGAAGGAAATGGCAACCCACTCCAGTATTCTTGCCTGGGAAATCCTGTGGACAAAGAGGCCTGGCAGGCTGCAGTCCCTGTGGTTGCAAAGAGTTGAACACAACTTAGTGGTTAAACAACAACTCCAATATAAAATAAAAGCTAAAAAACAACCAACCAAACAGAAAGATCAGGAGAACAGTGGAACCTTGGACACTCCATTCTCTTCTTGGAAACCTCACTCACCCCCGCGTTTTAAATGTTTTTGAGGAGTCCGCGTGACCTTGTTTAATTGAATGTTTAACCCGGTTTCCTTGGATATTTCCAGTGTTATTGGAGCAGTAACTTTTTTTTTTTTGAAATCATGCCTGTTTACATCCCACACTGCTAGTGTTGAGTGAAAACCATCTGAGGAAATGGCACTAGAAACACACTCTGTCTCACTGCATCTAAAACTGGTAGCATTGTGGGAGGGGGCCTGTAGCGGCTGAGTGGGCACAGGAAAAGTATAGCTCAGAGTTTGCCCTGGTTTTTGTAACTCAAAAAAAGAAGAAAGAGAGAGAAAACTTCCTTATGTGTAACTGATGTTTTGGAATGAGAAGCAACCCTGATTCGATATTGAAGTCAACCCCTGATGTGTAATTGAGTAGATTTGTCCAAAAAAAGGTAGGCTGGGTGGGTGAGGTACAACTCTTTTGAGTGTCAATCTGGCCTCAAGAGAAGAAATTTAATTCAGTAGCTCAGACCATGATAATTGGCAGAACACCCCATTTCTTTAGTTTTATCAAGGCCTACACTGACCAAGTGGTTCATTACTGGCACTTCCATTTGACAGTTTAAGCACCTGTGATACCAGGTACCACAGTGGTAAGGAATCAGCCAGCCAATGTAGGAGACACTTGTTCGATCCCTGAATCTGAAATATCCCCTAGAGTAGGAAATGGCAACCTGCTCCAGTATTATTGCCTTTAAAATTCCCTGGAAACAGGAGCCTGGGGTCACAAAGAGTTGAACATGACTGAGCCCTGAGCATGCACACACACACACACATATGTACACGTATTACCCAAACTGGAATATTATATTGCCAAACCCAGGAGCTCTGAAGACTTGTCTAACTGCTATGATGTTAACTGTAGGCTCTGTATGAATTCCACCTGCTGAACTATTCTTTAATTTCTGTTTTTCCCAAAGAAAATAGCTATTTCTTCTCTGGGAAAAATAAAAGCTATTGTAGAAAAAAATTTGATGTAAAGAAGAAAGAGAATGTCTCCTGTATTTTACCATCTTTTATTGCTCCACCTGGAAATGAGCCCTGTGAGAATCTTGAGGCTGATGAATCCAGAATTTCTTTTTAAATACTTTTTAAAAATGTGAACCATTTTTTAAAGTCTTTATTGAATTTGTTACAGTATTGCTTCTGTTTCATGTTTTGGTTTTACTGGCCTCGAGGCATGTGGGATCTTAGCTTCCCAACCATGGATCAAATCTGCACCCCCTGCATTGGAAGGTGAAGTCTTAACCACTGGACTGCCAGGAAAGCCCCTGAGTCCAGAATTTTGCTTTCTGTCTATAGTTATACC